AATCTGCCATACCTTTTTTTATGAGGATCAAATCCGAAGTTATGCTATCTACCCAATTACAGTTATTTTGATTTCTCTATTAGTTTAACTTCTAGTATATCGTTAATCAAAGGCTTCAGAGAAAAGGCAAGTAACAGTCCAGAAGCAGAATAAGAAGACATGCTATAACCAGGAAAAAACGGAGTGAACCAAGATACCCTACAAAGCTTAGAAGCTCTGACGCCAGTTATGGCACCCGTTATTTGGTCTTTCCGGACAGACAATATTGCTAAGTTTCTTTTGTTACCTATTCTGACATCGGACTCGGACTTCTTTTAAACTGAGTTTTACTGTGCGTATTGCTATGTGTTTCTTTATTCTACATTTGATAGAGGTATAGGGGGAGGGTTGGAATCACAAAAAACATGTTTAACCCCGCCGCATTTTTGCGCCTGTCCCAAGTCAGGAGCCGCTGGCCTTTGTTAGTCTTGTATATTTTTTTAATTTTAGTTCATTTATATGTTTTGGAGTTTAGTGTGACGTCCATTTTCACTGAACTAGTACACATTTTATTTAGGGGCCAGCTGAGGACCACCTCCGGGTGTGGGATTTTCTTGCTGCGTTGAAGACCCATTGGTGGCCTTGGGCTGCTGTCTGCTCTTTGATCGGGTAGTTGTCTCTTTGACATATTCCCCATTTCCATTCTCAATTTTAGACAAGGTAACGTAGCTTAAATGTCACATGATCCATATTTCATCGTCCATCGTCTTTTAAATTTAACTTTATTGAAAACACGGGTTTATGATGAAGAATTGCATGCCATAAAATTCCTTTATATTTGGTTGTAATTAGCATTTCGTCAAAATAAAGACCCTATGACCTACATTTCATCTTTGATGAGTTTGAATAAATTTACATACGAGTTCATTTTTAATCACAACATTTTTGTTACTAGTATATAATTGCTTACAACCAAACGCTAGCCAACCTGGTGTATATGTATGTCTTGTTTCTAGTTACTGATTACTTTTTAAGGTTGGTTTTCCAAAACTGTTATATCTGCAGTCATGTTGGTATTAGGTTGGATCCAAAGGTAGATGCATGCTAAAGGAATAATATTCCTTATTTTTGACCACATAACTGTCTATGCTAAATTCTGTGATTTAAAGCAGGACCTGTCTTTAACACGAAATTATTCATAAGACCAAAAAAGGATTATTAAGAAGTAAACGACGATTATCCTTCACTTTTTGACGGGTATATTAACATGTTATAACTTAATTTACAGTATTCAATGTTTTCGTGTATCAATGCAGAAATATGTCAGTTGTAGTAGTAATTTCTGTAGTATTTCCGGGTTTTAGTCGTTTTCATTCGACAATACACACGTATAAGTAACCGTTTTTGGTTGGAGGTTGTCTCTTGAGCAATAATACTAAATCTTTAATTTTAGATTGTGTTCGTTGATTTTTTTTATTGATTTTTTTTCTTATATAAGAGACAACAAATTCCCAAATCCTCATTCCAGCGAATCATGTACGCCATTTTCAATTATAGCTCCTAAAGGTATAATTCCGGTAGTTTTATATCGTCTTAATCCTCTGTAATCAAATGTTGGCTATAAGCAGTTTATGACTAATAAGACATTAAATGTACAAATACGCACCTGTCAAATGATATTTTCTCATATTTATTACAAGATGGATATACAAATTCCCCTGGAGTCACCATTATGCCAATAGTAAAACTAAGTTGTATTGTTTGGCATAGTTACTACAAGACCAATTTCTCTCAATATACACATTGATTGGTAAATTATATGGCGTATATATCGTCTGCAATATGCAATATTGAAATTTTAGAGTTATATGGGTTTTTTTTCTCTGAAATGATATTTATTGGACGTTGTTTTATGTATTCAAAACCACTTACTAGAATTTTTAAAAAATCGAACGTTATTTCATGCGTTACATGGGGAGTGTAACCAGTGGTATAGGAACTACTGACCATTTCGGAGCGCCTGATTTCAAAACTTATCTTTTTGTTAATTTTTTAAGGGAGTGTTTGTGAGGGTCGTATTGCTCAATGAATCTATTCTTTTCTGCCCAGTGTTTTGTGTACTGTTGTTTTCATTTTATTCATGATGGTGTCTGCTTTTTATTCGACTTATGTTTTTATCGCACCCTTCGTACCTATTTTCTCGCCTCTTTTTTTGTTTTTGTTTGCATACATAAACATACGTACCTTGACCTATAATGGTTTACTTTTATAAATTGTAACTTGGATGGAGAGTTGTCTCATTGGCACTCATACCACATCTTCCTATATCTTTTAAAAAAACAATTTAACCTCGAACTTGTCCCAAGTCAGGAAACTCACCAATGGTTTCTTCCGTTATTATCTTAGTTTCCAATTATGTTAAAATGAATATGGTTGCATTTAATTCGCATATAAAACTACGAAACTATCAGTGGATCCATGACTACCTTTAACAAAATATGTTGGGTTTTTTTCTGATATATTTCCCTAAACACTGTTTTGTTGTCTAGTATATGAAATTGAATAAATTCGATGCATTCATTCCGTCCTTACCACAAGAATCTCAAATACGGTCACGGTAATCAATGCATGAAAATATAAGAATACATATTCATAATTGAAGTAAACCTGGAGGATATCTGGTTAACAATACAGGATATCTGGTTAACAATACAGGATATCTGTGTCACAGATGATCCAGTTATGTTAATCTCTTATAAATATGGCTATGTTTTCGGGAAATATATAGTGCAGATTGCATTATGTGTTCACACTCCTACTTGTCATAGCCACAATCCCGCTCTCTAAGGTTAATTTATGACATAACTTAATGCGACTTATCCTCCGATTTTTACTTGGCATTTGCATACGACGGTTACCCCTACCAAAGCAGGAATGGCTTCCTCTTCCAGAGCATATGAGACAACCCCAACGTTTTATTAAGGTTTGTGTTTGTGTTTATTTTGTGATATTTCATATTGCAATCAATCTTATGTTTTATGGTAAAACTTGCTAAACTGTGTAACATAGTTAAAATCGTAGATATATTCTATCAAAATGTGTTATAAATCAGGGCTGGTGTGGAAGCACAGACTACAAGGCTGGTGATACCAACCACAACAGAAACCAGTGGTATCGAACCAAGTGGTAATTAATTCGAGGATAACTTATGTTTCATGGCTCTATGTATAATTCGTTGTTGTTTGTGTGAATAATGGGAGATGTTTGATATACGTAAATGAGACAGCAACCAAACGTCAAAAATGACCAATAAGAAATCTAGAGGGCAACATTATGTCTTCTACAATAGACATGTACAGTCATTGTTTGTTCGTCTGAGTTTTTTACGAGGGAGTTGGGTGCTGGTAGGAGATGTGGTCTGTTGTACTGTCCAGTAATTTTGGTGATTCTCCTGTTATCCTTTCTATGAATCATTCATACCACAATTGTTACAAAACGAGTTGTCAAGGAAAATTTAATTTGATTTAATTAAAATGCATTAATTATCTGTATTCCATGTTCTTTCTACTTAAGAACAATCTATCTAAAATATAGATCTCTGATTTCGTTATCCTCATATATACACGAGCACGCGAGTTGATATAGGTCTGAATTTTAATCAGTTTGACTTATGAAATGTTTGCCATAGTGATCAAAGCAACTGTCGCATAATAGCAAAATTAAATACCGTTAAAGCACAAATAAACAGGAAAGTATGTGTAAAAATAGCACAACGTGATTTTCATCGGTTAAATTTCAATAATGAATTGATGGTTATACAAAAATTATTCTCCTCTAAGCAAAGTATAAGTCATTTTATTTATACTTACAATGTTTTTAAACCTTGTGACTAAATAAATATTATATATCTTTTGTCGTAAAGTTTTGTTTTCAACCGACCCTCATTGTCAATTTCTAGATGTAAGTCCAGGTATGAGGCAGACTTAACTGTATCTGTTGTATCCTTTATCTCAAGTTCAATGGGATAGATGCGTTCAACATAGTCACCAAATTTTGAAATATTTAGTGATAGAACGTCATCTATATAGCGGAAAGTAAAGTTAAAGGATACTGCTAACTTCTTTTCTTTCTTCCTAAGTCCAAAGAGTTGTTAGAAAGGGTTTTCAATGTTTAAAAAGCGTGACACGCTTCCATCACGTCCCCACTGCGAAAAGCCATGGCTTAGTTTTCGGGTGGGAAAAATCCAGGTTAAAATATTTGTATACATTGGGGTCATGGGTCAGTAATTGATGTGCATTTGAAGAAATTTAGTCAACTGAAGATATGAAACCTGTCTAATAAGGTGAAGAATGGGACATGCTTTATCCTATTCCAGGTAGTTACGTACAGCTGGTCATGTCTTAATACATACAATGTATTTATAGCGTTCAATAGTCAACGATGAAGCTATTTATTTTCATTTTTTTTTATAGAGTATCTGATATTGAACATGTTTGTTTATTTCTTTATGAAATTAGGGTGAAAATCTTAATTAACATGCAGAAAGGGCAATGACACTACTATATGTCATATATCACGAAATAATCTGCCAATTACGTATTGTAACCGCAAAATAATGATTATTTTTCTCTATCTCAAACACTTATATGATAAATTCATCTTTTCCAATTCCTATTGCTTTACATTCTATGCTCGCCACATTAATGTCATCTTCAACATCTTACGATATCATTATGTTTTCTGACGAAGAAAAAACATTATATACCAAAGAATACCATTCCTCCTTTCTTTTATAGCTTTTAAATAATATATACCAGTATTGACGAAAACGCACCAGTAAATTGCATGCCGGAAAAATGACCATGTGGTGATAAAATTACACTCTGTGGGAAACTAAATCCCTCCTTTGAAAGTTACAACATGAAGAAGATTTGTTATATAAAACTTATTAATTATTAAGACGACTCAAAATACTAATCAATCAAACAAGTAAATTATTAATGTTTTGCTGTTTTGCGTAGTCTAGTTATTGATCAATAGTTTCATCGGCATTCAGATTGATCCGAATCAGAATTACGGTATATATTGGAATATTGAGATCTTATTGTATTGAGAAACATGGCATCATATGGCGAGGTGGTCATAGCAGTGGTGTTAATTCTATCACACCAGGGTAAGTCTTAAAATTGTTATTGATTTAAATTTGATTTATTAAAATAAAGCTGACATTCATTTTGAAAGGGTTCAATCCAATAAGAGAGCAGTCGGTGCTTCAGCAAAAGATTTATTTCACTTTTTTCGTTTTGATAGATTTTCAGGTGATAGTTTTTCAACAATTTTACAAATTTCTGTAAAATCGAGGTGTTATTCATCGCTGTACTTTCTTGTTGAAGAAATGGATTCTACCATTACATCGAGAATGATACGACATTTCTCCTCTCAAGACATTTAAATTTTCAAACCTAAAACGCGAGGCTTGCCGAGGTCACTGTCTAGTATTTCAACTTTAATGCCGATTTTAATAAGCTATTGACTGAAAAGTGGAGGGGTTAAATGGATTTTTTCAAAGTTTTATAAGCGGACTAAGCCCCGCATTGTCTCCACCTCTGTGTGTTTCGTGAACGACCTACCAATCTACTTTCTATGTGTCAATAGCGCATATTCAAAACCAGATACACCGTTGGAAGTTTATCATCCGATTAAAGAACATCTTTTTAGGTGTCAGACCACCAATTCACCCACTCCAATTTAGAACGTATGTAAAAGAAGCCATTCCCTGATAAAAGAAATGCTTTTGATGTTATTGTTTACTTAAACTAACCAACAAATTTGCAGAAATGAATCTTTTGGTGAAAGAAAAATATATTTAGACCATTTTGAGCTAAAATTTTCTTGTCCATTTAGCATGCATTAAAAATTGATGATTAATGCGCTCCATAGTATACCAATTTAAGATTTCCAGAAAACCAGGGGTTAATTTTAGTAGTAATTGGCTTCCGAACGGTAGTTCTTCGTTACAAGACTTTAAACATTGGTTGAAAATTGGCATGTAGAAAGGAGATACATGTATAATTCAGGATATACCTGGTTTCTATGAAGTTAAACTTAAGGTAAACTACTTTTGAAAGTAGTGAAAATTGCAAAATTTGGTTGAATAGATAGGGATTCTGAATTGATGGTGTGACACCTTAATAGGCTTCGGAAAACTATGCGCACCGGTCAGTAAATATTAATTTCCAATGGCACTGTAAACTGTGAAAATATGATGACAATCATCTAATAATGTACAATCATACAGGAAGGAAAATATTTGATTTTTACATTCCTTTAATCATTTAGTCATTTGTTTATTCAAATGTAGTTACATTCCTATAAGCAATATAAACACAAACATATAGCAATAAACATCGTTTTGTAAAATAATATTATATCAAAAGAAACAAATTTGACCGATGAGGATCACATTTCCACAATGCTAATGAATTTACACATATAGGCATGGATGGTTTAGAGAGATATTACGATTCTATATCATATCAAGTTTTATCAAATGGACATTTCTATACAGTTTTCCATTTCAATGTTCTGTTGGTTGAAATAGTATAACAAGAGAGTCAAAAGATACCAAACGGAAAATTCAAACTCTAACTCGAAAACAAACTGGCCATGTCATGGCAAAAAAAACCAAAAGACAAACAACAGTATACAAAACACAACATAGAAAACTAAAGACTGAGCAACACAAAACCCACAAAAAACCAGGGGGGTTCTCATAACGTTTAATTTTGTCAGGTTTTATGTAATTCCCCTCTTTTTGAATTTATCTTGGAGTTCGGTTTTTTGTTAATTCTTTTTTTTTTTTCGCAATCAGATTAAAGATTTTGCACCTTTCAACAAAAGTTAGACGGCTGTTATATTGAATATAAGTGGAAGTAAATTTGTTGGCTACATGTGTTACATGTTAATCGTAAAAGGAACCATTGATTTTTCGATTTTATGATATTCAATAAGCAAGCAGGCAAACAAACAAATACATTAATGAATAGATCAATTGAAGTAAGCTATTTGGTCAACCATTAAATAATTAAGATTTACTAAATAGAATTTTATATTAATGATCGATATTTAGGACCGATGGGAATTACGTATTTATCGGCTTTAACAAATATGGAAAGATAATTAGTTTGGGTTTTTTTCCCTTTTTGTTTCATTGTTTGATTGTTTGATTATTTTTTATTTTTTTTTATTTTGAAGTTAGTTTATTGTGTTCGTTTGTTAATGTTTTTGGTTGCTGCTTTTTTTTGTTATATTTGTTTTGTTTTGGGTATTTTTGATGGATCATTGTTTTTGTTTGCCGCTGTTTTCCGCATGTATACAAAGGGTTAAACAGCTTTAATGGAAAATGCATTTTTAATAGCAACATTGTGTTTTATAGACTAATAAAACCTTTTATGACTGGATTCCGTAAGTGCATTAACACTTCTACTGATTAACTTCTATGGCCAAAGATAGTAGATTTAACCATTACCACTTGAAACATACACTGTCTCCGTAATTACTTTCATATGTTCTAGGCAGGTTTTCCAAATTGCACTGACGTACTCCATAAGCCTTTGCGTAATAACGGAAGCTTTTTGGTTCTAAGACTCGATAGCAATCGATTCGCTATGAGATATTTGACATTTTTGTCGTGTTTGAAGAAGGTATATATTGATTTTTAATCATTCTTACACAATATATTATTTTCTTTGATCCAAAACAATACTGACACGTTTCCTTTATGACCCTTTCCTGACGCAGAATTTAGTCAGTTTGTCATTCAACTGAATTGTTCTTTTAACATTATAAGATACATGCTTAAAATTATAATCTCCTAGGGGTATAAAACATTTCGGTATAATGATTGTATTATAGGGTTATTTAACAAAACCAAAGGACACTAGAGAAATAGAGTTTTCTTGTTTCCATCTGACTAAACACATAAGCCATTGACCAGGGAGCAATTTGCATTAATAAAGTTTTATGGATTGCTTAATATCCAATTAAACATGATTTTTTTCACTTCACAAGACTATGTGTTATAATTATTAAGTATGAATGTACGAAACATAAATAAAGTCTATATTTGTCTGTGTTGTGCTTTCCTTAACAGACGAGACTTAATGTGTTGATGTTTAAGTTCAAATATAAAAGCAGCAACCTTGTATGTGGTTGACCTTTTCTTTATTGTAATGTGATGTCATTGCACTGGCGTAGGAGCTAGGGGGACTATGTGTTTGTCCCTCCACTTTTCCACTTTTTCCAAAAATCAAACGACACTCTTTCTTTAAAGAAACAAATATAATGAAACCATATGACGTTTTAGTTCCAGGAAAATATCTTATGAAGGTGGAAATAGTATTATGTAATGTTTGTTCCCAAGAACTTTTATTATACATAGTTTTGTCCCAGGGGGAACAAGTATTATGCGGAACAAATATATGTTCACATTTCAACCCCCCCCCCCCCCCCCAAATCCCCCACCCCACCCCACACACACACACACTTTTCAGTCCACTCCTACACCACTGAGGGGATTTAATAATGAGGGCAGGATAGTCTCTGTTAAATGTTAAATGGGGTTATGTAGACATTGACATTATCGCATAGAACTCATTCGGTTGTCGAAGATTATTTGCTGTTGACCTCTAGTTGTCCTTTGGTTATTTGTTTGTTTGTTTGTTTGTTTGTTTGTTTGTTTGTTTTGCTCTATATTACGTATACCAATCTCTACCTTAAATCATATTAAAAGCTGATGAAATACTTCACCACTAGATGTCTAAATGTCCTTAGTTTATTTATTTTTTTGTTGCTGTATCTTTGACGTGCACAAACATATCCCTAAAATCATATTATAGTTGGATGAAATACTTAGAATTTTAGATAAAATCATATTAAAGACTGATGAAATGCTTGACCTCCAGATGTCCTTTAGTATCGTTGGGATCCTGTCTCGTTGACGTTTATCTAACATTTTCTTTAATCGTATCGAAATCTGAAGTGTGCTCTCCTGCACGTAGGAGAGAATTTATTCTTGTTGGGATTTGAAAAAAGGAAATCAAAGTCTTCCGTGTTATTCTATTAAATTAGTCAAAGAAAGTGAATTCAGTTGTGGGAATGTAAAAGACCTTTTTTGTTTTACTTCGCCTCGACTGAAGAATTAATGGACAACTTAAGGTATAAATCTAACCACAGCAAGATTAAGTAGGTATGACCTTCTTGATCAGTCTTTGAAATATTGTGCAACCGTTTCAAATCTCAAGACAAAGACCAAAGAAATAATAAATGATATTCAGTCATTCCCGGCATTGTATTTATCTTGAAAAATCTCATTGCATAAATGTATACACACTATTTGACAGCTTAACTATTATATACAAAACATGATGAATCTAAGTTTGTAACGTTTGCCAAGACGACAGCGAAATAAATATTACATTTATGAATAAAAAGAGATGTTTAGTAAAAGTCAATAACATAGAAACCCAACGACACCAAAAGGTCAACATACGGTATTCAGCAATAGACTGTGTCAATGTCATATATCAAGCTCTCTATACAAAAGTAGTGAATACATTTAACGGAGACTAAAAAATATATGACATTAACAAAAACGCACTTAACTCTATAACAGAGGTATAATAGATAAATAAGCAAAAGACTTTGGTTGACATTGGTACCGAACTGTATGGCAATTATTGGATTTATGCCAAGCATTCGGCAGTAAATCTCATGATAAAAAGGGGCGTCCGTTTGACTGTTTATGATGTATGTATCCGTAGATACGTCCGTTTGACTTTTCAAGATGCATAAATGCGCCGATATGTCCGTTTGACCCTCTACAGGATGTATAAATACACAGACATGTCCGTCGTCACGCTCTATGCACGTCAAAGATCACTTGCAACATATCTTTCCAATATATCTTCGTTTCCAGTGGCAATGTAATCCCGTTCTTCGTCCCGACCGACCTAAATTGCATATCTATAAAAATCATCTATCTCAAAAATTAAAAATGGCGGACAGTCTTGACAAAAACCAAAATTCCGTTGAAAAATAATCTTATGTATTGAAATTTTATAGATACAAATTCACAAATGTGACCTACCGAATTAGACTATTTACCGGATTTAT